TGTACAATAAGTCCAAACAAGTTTAACCAAAAAGTATTTATTTTTCACATTCAAAAGTCAACATAACAACAATAATAAAAAAAAACCAACAGCAATAATAATTATATAATATACAGTAGAGACCGAAAGTTTGGACACACCTTCTCATTCAAAGGCATCAAAACTATGAACTAACACATATAGAATTATATACTTAACAAAAAATTGTGAAACAACTGAAAATCTGTCTTATATTCAAGGTTCTTCAAAGTAGCCACCTTTTGCTCTGATTACTGCTTTGCACACACTCTGCATTTTCTTGATGTTTTTCAAGAGGTAGTCACCTGAAATGGTCTTCCAACAGTCTTGAAGGAGTTCCCTGAGATGCTTCGCAGTTGTTGGCCCTTTTGCCTTCACTCTGCGGTTCAGCTCACCCCAAACCATCTCGATTGGGTTCAGGTCGGGTGATTGTGGAGGCCAGGTCATGTGGCGCAGCACCCTATCACTCTCCTTCTTGGTCAAATGGCACTTACACACCCTGGAGGTGTGTTTGGGGTCATTGTCCAGTTTAAAAATAAATGATGGTCCAACTAAACGCAAACCGGATGGAATAGCACGCTGCTGCAAGCAGCTGTGGTAGCCATGCTGGTTCAGTATGCCTTTAATTTTGAACAAATTCCCAACAGTGTCACCAGCAAAGCACCCCCACACCACCATGTAGAGTCCATCCGTTCACCTTTTCTGCGTCGCACAAAGACACAATGGTTGGAACCAAGATCTCAAATTTGGACTTATCAGACCAAAGCACAGATTTCCACTGGTCTAATGTCCATTCTTTGTGTTTTTTAGCCTAAACAAGTCTCTTCTGCTGTCCTGTCCTTAGCAATGGTTTCCTAGCAGCTATTTTACGTGGAGGCCTGATTCACACAGTCTCCTCTGGCTAAGGGGAAAGGGTAGGGGTGTGGAACATTGCAGAGACAGCCAAACAAGAATCAAGAAAAACTGTGTCGTCTTCTTGAAACTGGAAAACAAAAAGGAGGCAATCTCTTAAATGACAGCTTTTATCACTGGTGATGTTCTGAAATGCCTGCTGTCGGTCCTCCGCTGTCATGGACAATACGCTGGGCAGTTCGATGTGTCTACAAAAAAAAACACATTGTCCTGTATACAGCATGCTGCTGCATTCATTCTTCTTATGGTGCTCTGAGAGAAAGAGAGAAGTTCATTTTATATCACATTTCCATTTAGTACAATACTTTTTACCAATACACATATTCCCATCCTAATAACGTACTGTTAAACCCACTGATGTCCAAATAATTCTGTGTGTTTGGATGGCCTGAGGATGTTTCACCATCCACACATTGTATCATGATACACAACATCACGTGCGTGCATACACACCAGACTTACTGTAAGGTGCTGAAAGTACAGTATCAACCACTAAAACCTGTTTAACACCATGCACATGAATACCTGTTCAAGGGATTCCTCTGGATGTACGTCACCCATATGTTGAATTTTCCTAAGAAAGGAAGAAGATACTTTTTGAGGAGTACAGTACAATTATAGAATATTTGGTTTGGAAAATTTTGATTGTTTTTTTTAATTCCATCATACCTTGCAGGTTCTTCGGCTAAAATATTAATGATTATTATCTATAGCAACGAGCTGTCTACACTCATCTGCACAAGCCGGTGAGCACTGTGAGAATCATGTTCTTTAATTTCTCCAGTGCTTTCAACACCATCCGTCCGGCTCTACTGGGTGAGAAGATGACGGCGATGCAGGTGGATGCCCCCATCGTGTCCTGGATTGTTGATTACCTGACGGGCAGACCACAGTATGTACGCTTACAGAACTGTGTGTCTTACAGGGTGATCAGCAACAGTACCTCATGGGACTGTCCTCTCTCCCTTCCTCTTCACCCTATTCACCTCAGACTTCAGCTATTGCACTGAGTCCTGCCACCTTCAGAAGTTTTCTGACGACTCATCAATAATTAGCTGCATTGAAGGGGTGATGAGGGTGAATCAGGACTGTGGTGGGCAACTTTGTCACTTGGAGTGAGTTGAACCATCTGCAGCTCAATGTGACAAAGACTAAGGAGTTAATAGTGGATCTGAGGAGGGCAAAAACACTTGTGACCCCCGTTTCCATCCAGGGGGTCCCTGTAGACACTGTAGAGGAGTATAAGTACCTGTGGGTGTACTTAAATAATAAACTGGACTGGACTAGAAACATCGAGGTGGTCTACAAAAAGGGCCAAAGTCGACTCTTTTTCCTGAGGAAGCTGAGGTCTTCTAACATCTGTCAGACGATGCTGAGGATGTTATATGAGTATGTTGTGGCCAATGCGATCTTATTTGCTGTCACATGCTGGGGCAGTGGGCTGAAGGTCGCAGACAACAACAGACTTAAAAAACTGATCAAGAGGGCTGGTGATGTTGTAGGGGAGGAGTTGGACACTCTGACAATCTTGCCAGAGAGGAGGATGCTGTTCAGGCTTCAGTCCATATCGGACAATGTGTCACACCCTCTCTAGGACACACTGGCCCAGCAGAGGAGCTCCTTCAGCAGACAACGCCTCCCTCAGAGAGTCATACCCCCCCTTTAAAAATTCTAACTAAATTATTGGCATTATCACTATCACTTATTTTAGACCTACATATATACAGATAGTTACTTATGTATTTATTTATTGATATTCTGTGTGGAATATTGTATATATATACAGTATATATCTATATATGTATAGACATGTATAAATATATATGCTGTTGTTCTATTTCTGGAGTTGGTGACAAAAATAATTTCCCCCTGGGATTATTAAAGTATTTCTGATTCTGATTCTGAAGAGAGAGGTGACCCTAAAAGCGAAGCACTCGATTTATTGGTCGATCTACATTCCCACCCTCATCTTTGGTCACAAACTTTGGGTAATGACCTAAAGAACGAGTTTGTGGATACAAGAGGCCGAAATTGGTTTACTCTGCAGGGTTGCTGGGCTCTCCCGTAGAGATAGGGTGAGAATCTCAGCCATTCGGGAGGGGCTCAGAGTAGAACCGCTGCTCTTCATCGTGGAGAGGAGCCAGTTCAGGTGGCTCGGGCACCTGGTCGCCTCCCCGGTGAGGTGTTCCGGGCACGTTCCACCGGGAGGAGACCCAGGAGAACACCCAGGACACACTAGACGGACTATGTTCTCAGCAGGCCTGGGAATGCCTTGGGATCCCCCCAAAGGAGCTGGCAGAAGTGTCAGTGGAGAGGGAAGTCTGGGTTTCTCTACTTCGGCTGCTGCTCCCACGACCCGACCCCGGATAAGCGGTGGAGAATGGATGGATGGATGGAACAAACATTGGAGCTTTTCTGTGCTGCTGTAAAATACTTATTCTGTCCACACAAGGGAGGAATTTATGACCAACAACGAAATTTCTCTGTGACTCATAAAATAGTTTATTCTCTTGTAAAAGTACAGCTATTGATTTTGTGGGCATGGAATGTCTCCCTTTCTCCCCTAAGGTGAAGATTTAGAGCTCTGTTATCGACAGAAGTCAGAGCAGCCCAGAAAAACTGTGTGACCATGTGCACGATTGTCATATTTTCAAGCCTCTTTTGATTTCAGAGTTCTGCACTCATCCTATAGATTGGCCACCTTAAGAAATAAAGGTCGGATGCAGTTATTTAATGAGTCACAGTTGATAGCACAGTGGGGACAAACCCCTGTCAAATGAACTTTTCTGCTAAGGAAAAGGATTAAGTCTGTACTACTGCTCACTATGAACATTCAAATAATGTCTAGTCTTCACATTGTCAAGGCATTACCGAAGTTCTGTTGCTCAAGGCTACACAGTGGAGCATTAAATCATAGTATTTTGGTGCTTAAAATTGTTTTAAAATTGCCGTGGTTAAGATGAATTGACCCTGTACGTTAGACCTTTATTACTATATGTTTCCGACATCTGAAAATAGTTACGTTAAAAACGTATATCAATCTCTCTGTTAATTTTATTAGTCTTATAAGGGAACATACAAGGGCTATTTCTTTCAATATTCAAATTCATATAGCACATCACTCTTTGCAACCTCTTGCTCTTTGTTCTATACTAATCAAGCAGTCACTTAGGCTACTTCAGTGATCACACTTGACACCCTTCTTTTCAGTTACCCATCTCATCAGCCCTTCTTTATATTACATTGTTGAAGAGGAGTGAAGGGGATGAATATTTCAGCAGCTGCCTGACAAGCAGCACCAGTAGGGCTTCATACCATCTTGTTTGCACTTACTACAGCCATTAGGTTTACAAGCAGAATTTGTATTTATCACCAGGTCTGAATGGTTAGAAGCAATCAAAAGGAAACACAAGGAGAGAAACATAAGGTTCAGGATGACATGTGAAGAAAAACTGAGGTGAAATGCTGACATGCTGATGTCTTAGCAGATAACGCTTAAATCATTTTCCTCCAAAACTTCACTGGTAAAGGTTCAAAGAGATATAGCCATAATACAAATTTTTGGAGTAAGTAGTGGTGTTTGAAGTTATTTTATGGGATTTTGCTGTAAGGCCCAGAATTGATTTGCAGAAGGGATAAAAGGAAGATACTTTATCTTCGGAGCTTTGTCGGAAAAAGCTTAGCATCCATTGGTAGTTCCGCCAATATGCCTGTAGGGCATGGAGGTAGGGTAAGAGTGGGGGTTGCTGGCATTGACATTATATACCACAATGAATTGTGCTGAGTTTACACCTCCTGCTGCTTACGTTCTGCTCTTTCATAATCTTTCATGAACCAAACAATGTTTTATTTAATGTCTTGGGTCAGAGAGAAACTTGAGAAAAAACATATTAATAATGAAACGCATAGTACTGGGAAAGGAAAGAAGGAGAAGGAAAAAAATAACTTGTATGAGGCTTCTCAACAAACAGGTCAGAAGGACCTTTTGAAGTCTCCTGCTTCAGTGCAGTCAATAGTTTAAGAACTTGTGTTATTTCTGAATGTTAGGCCGGCCTGGACTTTTTTCCTACCTGAAAATGCCAAAGATCTCATTGCTGCTGCCCAGCGTCTCACTGAGGTACCTGAAAGACTATTCAAACATCCAAGACAAAAAGCCTTTGAACCTCAGGTTGGTGTTTCAATAAATCGTCAATGAGAGATAAATATCCCTTGGTTTAAAACATTACATTTAGAATTTCCATTACAATATCACAAATTATGATGATTTAACACTTGAATGTAGTTAGAAGTGTTTTTGTATAGTTTAAATGCATGGTGTCTCACTCAACTTATGAGAATATGTTTATTTTATTTTATTTAACATATTACTATGAGTGCTAAAGAAAGAAAGCACATAGCTATTATGTATTTAAATGCTCAATGAAAGCCAACACTTAGCATCTCAGGCCTTTGGTATGATTCATAATTTATATTTTGAAGTGGAAGCAAAATCACCTGGCACACTGACTGACACCAAGTAAGAAAAACTAATAAGATGTTTTATTGGGCTCTAGAGGATGCCTGGTGTGCAATCAGTGGAGCTGGAATTTGCATTCACACATATACAGGGCAGCTCGCATGCATATACAGAATATTAACTTGCATGTAACTGAATTCCCTACATCTCCAGGACATTTCTTTGCTACCATATTTAAAAACTCCATATCAGAGGAAGGTCCGAGGGTTGTCTGATTTATTTATGACTCTGATACCTGTCCCAGGATACTTGTTGTAACCTGTGTTGCTCATAGACTATCCCTTTTGCCTTATCATATGGTTCATCTCAATCATACTGCTTAAGAAGTAAACACCAAGTTGGATATGTGCTAATAATTTATGTGCCAGGAGAGAGAAAGGCGTTTATGTGTTGAAATTAGATGCTATTAGCATCACTGTAGAGGGCCCATTTAGATTGATTCTACTTTAACTTGCAAATTTCACCTCATACGTACATATATACATTACCGTATACATGCTTTAAAATATTTTTCTATTTTTGTATATCATATGTCCTGCTTGTCATTTCAAATGCTTTAATTAAGAGTATGCCCCTTCCTGACAGGGTCCACGAGAGGTAAAAGGATCTGGTTAAACAAATCAGACCTCAGGTGTGAATGTCTGGAATGATGTTAACTTGATGCAGGACATTACTGGAAATTAACATATTCACTCAGCATCATAAGGAAATTAACTGAAAGAAAATTCAGAGTATTCACAGATTTAAAAAAAAAATGAAGCAGAAGAAGAATCTTCTGGAATTGAGTCAGTGTAAGAGGCAGCTGTCTACAAGGATAATAGAAATCTCACTAATCAGAAAAGAATACATTAGAAAAAAAATGTAACAAGCTGTTAAAAAGAACAAAAACTTAAAAGATCTTAGAATTGATCATTTACGTTTTTCGTCCTATCCGGTTGGTTATATATTTAATTTGTCTTTGAATAGGTTTAGGAAATAACAATACTTGATAAGGTCAGGAGAACAGTAATTGATAGGACTATAATCAACTCTTTAAAATGTGACTACAACTGTTACCTCTGTTTTTTGTGTTTGTGATGGATTTCTCCATGTATCTCATCCAAATGGAGCTAAATAGTCACTTCATTTTTATACAATTTAATAGACTTTCAACCTGCCCAGAGTCTACCCCAGCTTGCCCTATAACATCTGGGATTAGCTCCACAGTCTTTTAATCTTACCTAATTTCTCCTTAATAAGGCTTTATTGTCAGAACATCTACATGTCATTTTATCAGACAATTGTCATTCAGTGTAAATAGGGTAACATCTTGACTGATGTTATGGAATGTGTGAATTTGAGATGGACTGATGAACAAAAGGTAAAGCTAAGGAAAGCAGTGTGCAACCACAATCTGAAATATAAACTGAGTAGACTGATTTCCAGTAATTTCATGCATGTTATTGCAACAGAAAAGTAATTTGATCATGCCTGGGCATGATTAAATTAAAAATCTGTTTCCAGTAACTGACTCCACTAACAATACAGTTACATATGACCCTCTGTAAGTTTTATACATGGGATAGCAAAACCACATCTTCAAAAAAATGCTGTCACATTGTAAGATTTACTTGCTGAGCTATGATGTGATCAGGATAGAGGGAAGAAATCATTACATGCAATGTAGTCTTGTTGTGTGGTTTTTGTTTTGTCTCTGTTCACCCTCCTATGTCCGTTCTCCTCTCATGATAATGTCCAGAAGAAGGTTTGATGCATTGGCCACCAGTATGCCAATGTAAATGTGATCAGTGTAGTAAGATATGAATAGTAAAGAACATCCTGTGTGTTTCATAAAATCTTTGACAGTTAGTCAAATGTTTATGTCCGGGGAATGAAAATAGGTTGTCACATTACCAATTAAAGCTATAATCCAAGACAACATTTGATACAATAAGCACTGCTAATTTTTGACCAAAACTGAAAATGTAATTATATAATGTGCAGTCTTAGACAAAGTAAGTAGTTTTCTTTCATTCTGACAAATTATACTTGGACTTGTGTATACATTTCCATTAGCAATATCACTATTAGCTTGCCAGTATACCATGCTTGAGAATCTGCTGTGACTGAACCTACATGGTATAATTGTCATTAGTAATACATTGGAAATGTTTGTTTTTCTTCTGAATCCCTCATGATTTATTTGAGTGATTTCAAAATATTAACATTTTCTCAGTGACAGATCCATCCATCCATGTTCTATACCGCTTATTCCCAACGGGGTCACGGGGGGGCTGGAGCCTATCCCAGCTGGCAACAGGCAAGAGGCAGGGAACACCCTGGAGATGTCACCAGTTCATTGCAGGTCTCAGTTTCAGATCATTCTTAGAAACAGTGGTGTGTTGCTGCAGCACACACCAGAGAAATGTGAAAAATTGAGTGCACTTACGGATACTTTAAATGTTGAAGCTTGGCTTTTTTTCATGTTCAAAATTGATAATATCTATGATGTAGCATTGCAGTGGTTCCATTTACTTAATGACAGCAATATATCAGCTATGTTTAACTCTATCTGGCTAATCCAACACAAAATACTTTAGGTCCTTGAATATTTCAAGACCTCACTCTGAGCCATTTCTTTTAAATTTCTTTTTAATTGTCCGTGCTTACAAGTTAATTGCACATGCTTCACCCAAACACATTTTATCTTTGCTATTGTCAGGGGCTTATTGAACGAAAAATACACTACCAATGGCTAATCAATTAATAATAAGCCAAACTTATTTTTACTTTCATGCAAGATGATCGTAGAGAGCAGGAAAGTCCAAACATTTTATTTTAAAATTCAGAATTAGTTATTTTTGCTAATAGTAAAAGTTGTCTAAGTCTAAGATAGTAAGGAGTGTCCCTGGTCATTCCACCATTGTGAATCAACACATGAAAAGAGTATGGATTTTCTTAAGTGTGGTGTAGGCACTGCAAGAAGACAATCTTTGATGACTGGAGTGACCAAGTTGTGACAGAAGCCTTTTCAAGTATTCAAGAAGATGAGAGTTGTACTCTTAGGTACTATGTAGGCTAACATCAGTGTCTTGAATTTGATGCAGATGGCTAAGGGTAGCCAATGGGGCTCAATAAACAGAGGGGTTGCGTGGGATTTTTTAGGCTGATAAAGATCAGATGTGCAATCATTTTCTGGACCTTTTGCAGAGGTTTCACAGTGCAGGTTGGATAACCATTTTTTATTGACAACTGAGAGAGCATTAGGGTCATATGGAGACAAACAAGACACATATATGATTGGAACATGCAAACTCAACATAGAGAAGCCCCCCGAGTATTCAGAAAATCTGACATTGTTAGGTGAGAGAGCTGAACACTATGGCATTGTGCAGCCTCTACCACTTAATTTCAGATCCCAATTAAATTTACTGAATAAAGTTGTTGCCATACAATTTCTTCCCTGACCCCTTACCAGTGATGATACTGTATGTTTAGTTGCATGTCATACTTCAATCACAGGCTGTGTAGGTGGTGTCTCCAAGTCCTTGTCAGACCTATAAGCAGTGTGACAAACTGCCTGGATTCTGTTAAGCCATGAATTCTCTTAAATCTCAGTGGGGAGGATTGTAGGATCTTTTACACTTATAAATCTTTTTCTCTTACAGAGAAGATTCATGAAATCTTTCCTACTTCTATCACTTATGTACCATCAGGTTCAGTAGCTGTAAAAGTACTGTATATTTTGGTCAGATCATACCTCTGAGCTAACTACAACAATAACTTCTTCTAATCATCAACTTGTGTTTTATATCCAATTCTACTGAGACTTAACAGGATAGTGTTCCCCTAAATCAACACTTCCATACTGGGTTTCATCAATCTGCCCTTGTTGACAGACTATATGCCCCATAGTTTTATGGTTGGTTTAATTACTTAACAAACCTCTTGATCAAGAACTATGATCTACCTATATATAATCGCCCTTTCAGTTAGCGAAAGCGAAAGGCTGTCTTAAAGACCCTACCTGGATGACTAAATTTGCTGCTTATAAATTCAGACAAAACTGAAGGTGTTGCTTTCATGTCTAAATGTCTTAAGAAAAATGTTACACCTAACTGATAATTTCCACAGAGCTACAAATTCATTACCTTCTTTAATGATAAAATTATAGCTATTAGAAATAAAATCCACCAAGACTTGCCCTCAACTGGCACCAACTTATCTCTCAACTCAGGAAGCTTAGAAACAGTTGTAAAACCAGTTTTATGTTTTGACTGCTTTGCTTCCCTAAATCTTTACCAACTAACTTCAATCATTTCTTTATCCAAACCATCAACCTGCCTCTTAAATCTTAGAAAAAAAATAAAAGTACTGTAGTATAGTTTTGACTAGATTACTTAAGTTTAAAAAACACAGACTTTAAGATGTACTTATAATATGCATTTGAATAAATATAATTGAAGGAAAAAGCTAACACAATGCTAAAGACTGCTGATCCTCACAATATGATATGATTTAGAAAATGTCTAACGTCCCTGGTTGAACTACAACATAGAACAACCTAAACATTAATGCAATACATTCAACTTGAAAGGGTTCATTCAAACAAAGCAAGTTATGAGG